TTGTCAACTTGGCCTAGAAACAATGACCAACCCAGTAAAAATGAGCATCTTTAATACCCATAATTTGGTTTCTAAATCTTGCAAGAATGAAAGTGACATAAAGACATTTTCAGACACAACAAAACTGAGAGCGTTTGTCTCCAGCAGAGTACCTGAAGGATATTCTACAAATGAAAATGACAGGAAATGATCCCAGGTGAGTTAAAGGTAGAATTAAGAACACAGAATGGGTTAAATATTTTGTTGGTTTTAAAATACACATATTGAATTAAAATACATTATAACACTAGCATATTGGTCAGGATAGATATAAATGGGTTTAAAATGTTTTAAGTTCCTTGCATTATTTAAGAAAAGGACAAATTTATCAGTTAATATTAGATTTTGATAATTTAACATGCTTCTTATAATTTCTATTATGGCTACTAAAAAAATAGGAAAAGTGTATAATTTCCACACTAAGAGAAGGTAACATATGGGTAAAGCAGGAAAGAAAAAGAAACACAAGAATGTGGTACAAATAAAAAGCACATAGTAACAGAGAAGACTGCAGCCCAAACATATCAGTAATTACACTAAGTGATAAGTGGATCAAATACTCAAGGTAAATGAAGAATATCGAGACAAATCTAAAACATGAGGATACAAAAAGGTTGAAAATGAAATAGTCTAATAAAGCATGCAAACACTAGCCAAAAGAAGGCTTGTGCAGTATATTACTTTTAAACAAAATAGAATTCAGGCTAAAATCATTACTAGAGAGGGTCCCTGGAAATATATAACCATTCTAAATTTGTGTGCACCTAATAGGGCCTTAAAATATATGAATCATATATACAAAATAAATGAAGCGCATATATATATATACATATATATATAAAATGATAAAGAGATAGGCAAGTATAAAATAATAATTGGGGATTTTAACCTGTTTTAGTAATTAACAGAAAAGGCAGACAAAAATCTGTGAGACTACAGGGAGAAGGCAGCTATCCACAAGCCAAAAAG